TGTGTGTGTGTGTGTGTGTGTGTGTGTGTGTGTGTGTGTGAGAGAGACAGAGAGTGTGTGTGTGTGTGTGTGTGTGTGTGAGAGAGAGAAAGAGAGAAAGCACTGGTGAATATGACAGTGAGACAGGAATGACTAACTGTGTGATGGAGTCTGTTAGAATGCAGTTATATGAGCCTAAAATTCAAGATATATCAAAAAAAAAAAATCACCCTCTTATATTTATATCATATGATATAGTTCAGCTGTTTATCCCCAATATCTGCACCACTGCTAATGTGAAACTGATCTTATACAACAGTTCAATAAACAAGAAGTTCATACTGCGTTACATTATAGACAATAATATCGATTAATTTCGCAAAACAAAAATAGTTACAATCACAGTAGAACTGTTGTGAGTCTCTGATCAACACGCAGCGGTGATTCATTACTGAACGAATCCACGGTTTTGAACAAATGGACTCAGTGAATGATTCAGTGGTCACTTGCTTCATGAATCAGCTGTTTGAATGAATCAGTTGAATGAATGATGCAATGACTCACTCATTAATACTCGCCGCCACCTACTGGCGCTTTCATATTCGCAGTTTCACATTTAGAGTATAATTTCATTGTTTTTAAATCATTTTATATTTCAATATGCATTTTAAAAAGTCCATTAATAAGCATTATTATTTATGCAATGTTGAATCAAAAGCTACTTTTTCTTTCTTTCTAAAGCTACTTTACGTAATGTCTATTCAATGCTTCTCTCATGACTTTAAATGATCTTTTGAGGGGTAATTTCTCTGACAGTAATGTCGCAACAGACAAGTGCGAGGAACTGTTTTTATTACATGCTCACTATTGCTTTGTCTATTATTACAGATCGTTTGATATGAACCGAGTATTTATGCGTTTCTAACCTAAATCACACACAACTGTCAGCCAATCACAGCAGTGGGTGTTTACTTCCGAGTCTATAATCCTCCACGCCTATTCAAACAGAGCGCTCTGATGAGGGGTCAAAACAGGACAGAAAATAGCCTATCACTGCTAAATTATAATGTTTTTGATGTAAAAATCTTGATAACATTATAAGTGGACATATAAAAAAGGCAGCTCATGACCACTTTAATCACTTGACAGCACTAATAAATAATAAAAGTAGCAAGTTTGCCAGTGTAAATGTCTCTAATTATTGAACCCAAGGCTCAAAACAGTCAGTTTACACACTGATCAATCAATCAATGGAATCGGGTGGCTAACCTTGGCGTTGGCTCTCTGGCTGGGCTCTTCTCTGGGCTTGAGCGCGCCGATGCCGATGGTTGGCAGCTGCGTCTGGAACACAGTCATGCGTCCTCCGGTGGGAGACAGCAGCTTGAAGGCAGCCTGCAGCGCCGGACCCAGAGCAGACTGCGTCTCCATCGTCTGACCGAACATCTGCGGCAGACTCGCCAGCAGATCCTGGACCAGCTGCAACGACAAGACCATCGAGATCAGAGCGTTCAGAGTCCCGTCTGACCAACCCCAGAGCGCACTCGCTCACCTCTCTGCACTCGCTCAGATTGACCAGAAGGCTGTCGGGCGTCGGCAGAAACACATCTGAGGGAAGACAGGCCGACAGTCAGCTCACTTCTGATATTTCACATCTGTGACGTATCGATGGGAGAATGCGCTTACCGTCGATGTCTGACACGATGAGCATCTGAGGCTGCGACAGGCCTTCCTGGAGGTTGTAGAAATGAATGTTGCTGTCGAATGTGATGAAGCCGATCTTCGTCCGAGTGTCTCCGGGAAGCCTTCATGGTAAAGAAACACACGACACACTGATGAGTGAGCTCAAGCGCAGCGGACAGCAGCTTCATCAGCGATGCTCACTTACGAGTCGAGGCTCTCCAGGAGCGTCTGACAGACGACATCCAGATATCCGGTCTCCACCGCGTTATGAGACACGTCCAGGACGAAGAGGTAAGCGGCGGGCTGCGGCGGCCTCAGCTGCGGACCAAACACTGCGCTTGAGTTCACTGACATTACAGGAAAATAGCTTCTCGACATCTCACATCATCGCACTCTTTGCCTGTACGTAGAACTTTCACGTTCATAAACGCATGCTGCATGGTTCATCACTTACTATGCGGAAACTTGATATTAGCACATAATTTAACAGATCTGTTCTATGATGTTACAGATAGAAGTGTCTGTCAGTGCCTACATGGAACCAGGTTGTTATAACTAACTAAAACCATTAATAAATAATAAAAAAAATGTTTTACTTAAAATGTAACTGAAGTAATATGTACAAAAAAAAACATTTGATTTCAGCTAGTTGCAATGGCAGCATTGTTCAATTTAATTAACTTGAACTTGACTAAAACAAACTAAACTAAACTAAAACTACTAAACTTCATAGACATTAAAAAACTACTAAAAATGACAAAAACACAACTAAATGACTAAAATTAAAAATGAAAACAAATCTAAAAACTATTAAAAATATTCATAATTATTTAAGACAAAAAACTAATGAAAAAAGACAAAAACATACTGCAAAATTACTAAAACTTTAAAATTACGATGAAAACATAAAATATTAGGGCTGCCCTCGACTTAAGATTTTTCTGGTTCATTTTAAGCATTAGTCGATTAATCGCACGTTTATTAATAAACCATTTAAATTATGCTAATGAGCCTTTAATTGCCTACACAGCCTAATAAGAGCTCAAGCGCGCGCATAAAGCTTGCCACAGCACACCGGCAGAAGTAATGATGATGAACGTGTCAGGGAAAAACAGTCCAATTAAACTGCATTAACACTTTAATAAATGAATTCAGCGACACTGCCTCGTCCTCTCCACAGTAGTGGATGCGCATGCATGCAAGTTTTATATGGATTACATAATCTGAGAATATTAGTTTTTTCAGACTTTAATTGTTTCATTTGAAAGTAGACATTTCACTCGCTATAGATATATTTTTCATGTCTGTAAGGCAAGTATACACAGTTTCACGCTCAAGTTCACAGAGACCGAGACGGCAGAAAGCGCATCCTGTTTGCTTTCATTATTTTACAAAAGTGCAATGTTTTGTTGTTATAGTGAGTGCACACAAATAAACGAAGAGGCTTTACAGCTTCGAAACATTCATTACTCTTATCTGTATGAGCAAAATGACGGAGTATTTTAAGAGCAAGTGAGCGCTACTGTTCAGACACTTGAACAGCGCACATTTCTCTAGGTTAACATTAGATTGAGCGGCCTTGTAAAGTTGCTACTACTTACATATTTCAGATGATAAGCCATATTTGAGGTCGATTAATGATAGGCGAGCGATTAAATGTACTGTATTACCACAAAATCCAGCCGTTAACGATCTGTCCATCACGGACTGTGTGACCTCTACACTTCCTGTGGATTTTTTTTTTTTGTGACTAAGCGACTAATACAATTTTGGTTGACCAAGCTTCTTCTCATTGACTAAAGGTTAGTCGACTATTAGGGGGCAGCCCTAGAAAATATAAGATTAAAAAAATAAAAATCTTAGTAAAAACTATAATAACTCGTACCATGTATTCTGACGGGGCGATGAACTCGATGGTGGCGTTCTGCACCTCTGGTCTTTTGTGAGGCGCTCCATACAATCTGCTGACCGGATTATACATGAACTCCTCTGGAACTGAGATCACACGATTTAAAACACATATTATACCGCATAAATGACAAAATAACTAATAACTCATCATCACACTAGCGCTCACCATCATTGACTCTGTGACACAGGTTGCACTTCCATCTTCTAGCGTCCAGGAAGGTCACGAACGGGTTGATGTAGGTTCGACAGGAGCGGCAGCGCACGATATTACTGGAGGTCACCACAGGCAGTTGCTGAAGAAGAAGAGGTGATTAATAACTGATGAGATCATTTCCGTCAGCGCAGCAGAGGAGGTCAGTGTTGAGAGGAGCGCTCCTGTCCTGATTGCTAAAGAACAGGTCACCCAAAAATCTAAACTCTAGAGTTATGGGCATCTTAAGTGAACTACAGGAGCTGCATCTGAACCGGCATTAGATGCATTTACACACACTGTTTGATGCGGCTCAGAGGTGGCAAATAATGCTGAAGATGTCATAAATATGGTTTTAAATAAAGAAATGTAAAATTACTGAAAAATTACATTTAAAAAAACCCCCCGCGAAACACTTGCAATTTCACAACTAAAAAAATTCTGTCTGACTGTTTGACATTTAGGATATTTTTACAGTGGTTCTGCGTGCTTTTTGAAGCCGGGAAGCTTCAGTTCCTGTTTATTATTATTAGCACACTGAATCTCTCTCCTTCCACAGAAGTCAGTCAGTCATGAAGGTTTAGAAGCACATGATGATGAACTTTCATTTCTGGGTGTTCAGCGGTGTCGAGTGCTGTGTGTGAGCATGTGTGAGCGTGTGTGTGAGTGCGTGTGTGGGAGAGTGTGTGTGTGAGCGTGTGTGTGCGTGTGTGTGAGCGCGCGTGTGTGTGTGAGTGTGTGAGCATGTGAGAGAGTGTGAGTGTGTGCGAGCGTGCGTGCGTGTGAGAG